TGACTGTAATTCTAAAATTATATACAAACAATATTTCAGAATCTAAATTATCCAGTTAAATCGAAGCTTAAACAATTTGCATAACTTTAAAGTCTCTCTAAAATGTCAACGATCGAGGTAAAGAATACCTGAAAAGCGAATGAAAAATTGTTATTGAATTTTTTTCAGCAGCTGAAACGAGAATCGTGTGATTCGGAGGAAACTTTATTACTTAATCGGATTATATTTTTGTTACCAAATGAGCATCTGTTACTAGATACCCGTCACGTTACGTTGAAAGGTCAACTGTGCGCAGGTATATATATATATATATATATATATATATATATATAAATATATGCATATGTATTTTGTAAACAAACTTCCAGTATACTCTTGACTCGTTCGCCGTATCATTTATATATGACAAACACATGCATACACAAACATATAGGTATACCTATCCGATGACGTTCTGAAATGTAATCGTTAAATCTGTCAATTATTAAATGTGCGATACTATTACGCAACTTATTATCAACCGACATATATTAGTAATGAATAAGTGGCTAACTTACTAATGAGGTACTTCAAGACATTTCACCGCTATATTAAGAATATTAGCTAAATTTTCAGAGAAAAAATACTAAGCACTTTTTGCTGAATTATTTTCGTAAACATTAGTTTCAAATCAATGGAAAAGTAACAAGTTTTTCCTATTACTGTCGACAAAGATAAAAATCCGGGTTTGCACTAAAAAATTGAAATATTAAGAGAATATACGTAACGTAAATGGCGATTTTGAACTGTCATTACGGTAGCATTTTTATTAAATCCTTAGCTAAGATAATCTAAATACAATTAACATTGATAAGCCCGATAAGAAGATAAGCTAATTAAATACAGTAACATAATTATCTTATTGACGATCTTATTGAACGTTATTTATTATTATAAATAATACATGTAAACTACCATCATTCTCGTATCAAAGAACATGCATAATATTCAAATACAAACGATTCTTACTATAAAATGTTTTTATTATAAAGGGGATTAATTATTGCATGAAAGTTAACTTATCTGCTTCTCGAAACATATTAATTATTTATATTCGTTAATTTTTTCTTTGTTCTTTTTTTTAATCGATTTATGATCAAGATCTATTTTTTAAAATAGACTAATCTTTGATGTGACATAATTTAATCCTATAATAGGGAAGTGTGAATTTATGCTTGCATGAAACAACAAATTTTAAATGCTGAACGATATGCTTCCGAAAATAAATATATATTAAAATTAGCATACTTTGGTCCTATAGTGTATGAATAGTAGTGCATTAATCAATCATAAGAAAAATTTAATTAGGAAAAATAACCACATTTACATAGTAGTATTTTAAACTATTTATTAAAGCCACAAAGATGAAAAACAATAATATATTTCATTTACCTTATCTACAATTTTAGGCAGTTACAATATGAAACTAAAATATCGAAATTTAAGAATTATTTTTCCCTTTATTATTTTAAGAAAGTTAATATAGCACTGCAATTATTATGTTATAAAATTATCAAAAACTGCTTTTAACGTATATTAAATAATATTAATAACTTACAAAATACAAAACATTTACAATTAAAAAAAAAAACAATAGGACTGCTCACTTGTACATTCATGTTCAAAGTGCTGACAATAATGAATTAGCCGGTATAAGCAAATCGCTCAGTCTCACATGATATTTGAAAATATTTGCATAAAATAAATAAGAATTTTCTAACATTAAATAAAATGTATATAACATTCGTAGAGCGCAATTATTTCCAATTAGTTGAAAAAATTTTTATAACAACATATTTTCAACAAATACTTGAAAGATTTTAAATAATTTCCATATTCTCCATAAATAACTAATATAATATAAAATACAATATATACCCGTAATATTTAATACAAAAAAAAAATAAAAATACAAATAATATGACTCATGAAAGAAAATATAAGTTACTCAAAACTACAATGTACTATTTAACGCTATAAAGTATATATAATATCCATAATAATAATAATAATTATATATATATATATATATATATATATATATATATATATATATATATAAAATTTAATTAATATTTATATCTGTTGAATAGCAAAGGAAAAGAAAAGTTTGTAAATACAATTAACTTCCAAAAGCCTTTGTACTTTAATAATTAGCAAATTTAATAATTATCATTATTCTTTATGTTTAATTGTTTTAAATAATATTAATATAAATATCCTTAATTTATAATATATTCTGTAGTGTATTTAAAAGAATATTTTAATTGATGTAATGTAATATTACCGATATAGTTTTCGTAATTAAAGTGCAATGACAAAAAAATGTGCTAAACCAGAAAAGTTAGAAAAGCTAAACAGCAAAATCACTTTATCGACTTTGTCTCCGATAATTTCAACTATTTACAAAACTATAAAAAATAACTACTCAATCTGACTTTTTAAAATCTCAATATTTATATTTTTAGCTAAAACAATATTTATTATTAACTGTTTTGATTAAATTGTAATAAGCTTGCGGTTAATAGAATTTTAATGTCAGTATAAAAATAATATAATATTATAAATAGTATAATATATAATATACTAAATAATTAATTTCTTAGTTACCCAATATACTTAGAGGAGAGTAACGAGAAGAAATTTTAATAAAAACATCTGGCTTAATGAAAAACTAAAGCTATTAAATACACTTAAATTATCGTAAATTTTTATTCTGTCATCGCTTATCGAATTTGATGACAATAACAGAGTTAAAGGCACACACTTAAAAAGCGAATAATAGTTAAATTAGTATTTTCAATAATGTAATATATAACAATAAATTTTATTGATAAATAATATTATGAAAGAACATCACGTTATCCAACGTATAAAAAAAATGTATAAATGGTTTCATTAATTATCATTATTTCATTAAATTCGTTATATATAATAATTATTATATACTTTTACACATTAATAAAAAAAGATAAAAAAATATCATTTAATTATTTATCAATTATAACATTGATTAGTAAATTGCAAGTTCGATCTACTATTTTCTACAGTAAAAATTATTCTTTTAATGCATATTTCTTTTAAATTTCAATATTTTTCTAATTTTTACATCTGTATGATGTTTAAAAAAATTAACGATTAAAAATTTATTATTCAGTATTAGATTTTATGGTCCATATAATTTTATGCAGATCAATATTTCAAAGACTTTATATCAGTAATAATTAAATTAAATTCGCAATAATAAAGATAAAAAAATGTTGTGCTTTTATGCGCTACATTGCTAAAAAAAAAAAAGAAGTAACTATCTTTGTGTCTATAGAAATCTTGTCAAACTTTCACATTGACAAAAAAAGCTCTTATTTCTATTAATATACATTATTTTATAATTCTCTACTTTATATTAAAGATACGTAATATGCATTTAAATAGTCATAGAAATTATTCAAATACGAAAAAGGGCATTAAATTTGTATCTTAACAAACTCTATAACCAATCAATATTATTCCTATAATTAATAACATAATATTTATTATACGTAGATCTATACATTTATTGGTAATTATCGACAACCTGATATTAATTCGCATAAATAATCAAATTTTTCATATAACTTGCAATTTTCTGCATCAAATTTAAAGCAAACTATATTAGTCAAGCGTATTTTAAGAATCAATAACTACATTTGTTCATATTATACAAACAATGACGATAAATATATAATTATAACGGAATAAAAGTTTTTATAACTTTATCATACCAAGTCGCCAAACTCGAGTATAAACGTAAAAATAACATAATTATGCGATCGAAAAAGTGAAGAAAAAAATCGAAACTTTGTTTCACCCGCTTCGTTTTTACAGTTCATCGAAATGTAATAAAAATTTTATAGAATGATTTTCACATACGACACATACATTACTTTATATTTAGTAAATCTACGCGAAAAAATGATGCATTTTTTGAAAATTCAAATCACTTAATTTGCACAAATGTAGATGCCTAATTTAAATAACTGACTCGGTATTAATAGTTAAATTGGCTATTGGATGCTAAAAATTAATTATATTGAATAACAAATTTGAAAATATTTTTAACAAATTCAAAATTAATCGTAGTCTATCATTATTATTTTGTTCCTTTTGTTGTTTTTTTTTTCCCCTCTTGTTTCCACAGTTATCTTTAACATCTCGAATAGTATATTTAGTTAAAATCGTTAAAAGCCAGTCTAACTAAATAATCGATGTTTAATTTTATTATTTAAATATTTAAATTAATATACTGTTTTCAATGAAAATGACACGCCAAATAAGACATTATAACAAATTGCACAAATAACTTTGTAATTTAAATTTTATATGTTTACAGTAAAATCATTTGCGTTACTTGATGTTATCAATATTGGGTAGGAATTCGTACGAGTTCTTGCGAACAGATATTATATCTTACATATTTATCCTATTATTGCTTTAAATTTCCTACATAATGCGATTCCTCAATAACGAAGGATTAAAATTTTTAACATATAAAACATTTTGAAGGATCGAGAAAAATAAGGCACGCGAGTAGTCAACATTTTTACACAATCTCGCAATAACCATAATACTATTCATTAATTGAAATGTAAGACAATAGTGACACCAAATTTATCGTCCTAATTACTAACTAATTAACATCTCCCTTTCTCCAATCTCTATTACGCGGGTGAAGATGAAGCAATGCATAATTAGCTAAGCACGCGTACCGTTTCCCCGCATAACGTGCAAAATAGCAAGCGGATAAGGAGCGCGACATCGCGGACTATTCGCCTCGCGTACAACCAAATTCGCATGTAAACAAAACGTACCGCATATCCGGCCACGGTAATACCAATACCAAACATCGATTCTAAAGCCTCGAAAAACAAAAGCAACAATAAACCGACACTCCCTCGGCTCCTTTCTTTCACCATCTCTCTCACCATTCTTCCGACATTCTCCCGCGTCCTTCGTTACCGCTGCGGTGTACAAGCGCCTTCTCCTCCCTGCTGAGGACCTCTCTTTTAAATTCCTTCCTTCCTCCACCTCCTCCTCCTCCTCCTCCTCCTCCTCCTCTTCCTCCTCTTCCTCCTCCGCCTCTTCCACCACCTCCTCCTCCTTATCCCGTACTTTCTCCCTTATACTTATCGTCTCGGAGGGCGAAAGACGCGTCGCGTGTACGTCAATCCCTCTGCGCGCCCGAACAGAGAGAACACGCACAGCTAATAGTGTGCGCACACGCGTGAGGCGTGAGACCGACTAACTACTGTCGCCGCCAACAACGACGTCGCCGTCGGGTGGAGAGAGAAAAAGCGAGAGAATGCAAGAGGAGAGGGTGGAATGAAGGGAGATGAAATAGAGGTACCTGCGCCGGCGCGCGATCCCAGCTTGTGCGGGAGCTGAGCGCGAATCTTGCGATAGAAAAGCGAGATACCTAGTACAGCATCACTTTCTTTTTCTCTCTAACGTCACTCTATCACTCGCTCTCTCTCTCTCTCTCTCTCTCTCTCTCTCACCCCCCTCCTCGTCTCAAACTCTCTATTAATCCCAGCCTCTCAATTCATCCTCTTGATTTAAAACACGTGTCTTTGATTCACGGTATATCAGTATCACATTTTACTTTTGTAATTCGTTTATACGACAATTATAAATGTAGAGGCCCTCGATGCATTCCGTATGAATTATTTTATCAATAGTTGGTAAGAAAGAAAACTAACGTACAGAGGAATTATGGGATGATTATTTGAAAATAATAACATTGCTTTTACGATTATCATAATTTAATTTATGGCAATGCTTAGTCATTATAGAAGCAAAGACTTATTATTTCCTAAAGTGCGTTCGCAGGAGTAATCTTAGCATAAAATTCTTCTCTCGTTATCCTACTAAGTAAGAAAATGAAAATTGTTTACGATAATACAGTGGCAAGGTTTTTTGTTTTCGATGAATTTTATTATTCAGGCTATAATTTTTGTATTTGCAGAAAAGATGAACATACAACTTGTTTTACAAGAAATAGTCAACGGCAAAATAATAAAATAATAAAATAATTTCAATTAATAATAAATTTTAGCCTCTTTTAATTTCCAATTTCATATTGAAATTCAAAATTTGATTAAATAGCCTGAAATATTTCTAATATTTATAATATTTTATTGATATGTGATTTTTATCACAATGAAATATTTAAACACCTCAATAATAATCAAATATCAATTTAATAAATCATAATTGTCATATATAATACGATATTTAAAAATCAACAATGTTGATATTAGAACAAATAAGGTATTATAAAAATCTTTATTTTAATAAAAAGTTTCATATCGAGGGTGAAGAATTTTAACTCGAAAAATGCATAGCAAAAAAAATAAATTTTTAATAATTCCATAAATGATATGAGCAAGGTACTTTCTAATATACCCTTAAAATCATATTTAAATTATAATTTCAATCGATGCTGAATATACGAAAATGCTCATTTCATTGCTTGTTAATAAGATTACTAAAATCCCTTCGCGACTATATGATCTTGAATCTTATGCCTTTTACAACTGATATACGTAGGAAAATAAAGATTTCTCAAGGGACGTAAAGTTTTTGCTCAACTCCATTCAAGTAAATAAATTAATATAATGCAAACACTTAAAATGTTTTATTTCAGCATATGCTCATAAAAGTTTTAATCAACAACATAATGCAACAAACTATATTTTACATAATAAAAAATTCAACATAATTAAGAACTACAAGTATGAAAGCTTTTTTTGCATAAATTTTTTATTACAAAAACTCTAAGAAACAGACCAGCAATTAAAATAATCATTTTATAAAAATTTTGGAAAATGCAACGGACATTCTTGCCTTTTCACTATATTTTATTCATAAATTGTAAATTAATATATAGAACTAACATAAAAATATATAATTGTTATTTAAACGATAGTGCATAATAATACACCGAAAGACAAAGCTTCGCCTAGAATTATCTAATTCTAAACAACTAAGAAATAATAATGTGCACTATTTTTATAAAACATACTTCATTTTCAGGATAAGCAAACATATGTCTATCCTATAAATATCAAATAATTCTGAGATGTTGCAATGGAATAAAAAAAATAATTGCTTGAATTAATTTTATAAGTAAAAGTTATATAAATTAACATAAAGAACTGATAAGTAACATATAACATAAGATTTGAATTACATTTTTTTATATATTCATATAGCTCATTGTGAGCAATTAAGATTTGTGTATAATTTGTGTAATTTAATATTAGTTTTATTTAATAATTAGCATAAAGTATTTGATCATTATATATATATATATATATATATATATATATATATATATATATATATATATATATATATATTGGGAAAATATTACAAGTAAGCCAAGTATGTTTTTATTTTAAATACCAGGATACTTTTAGTCCAATTTAAAATTAATTTATTAATTATACTTCTTTATTCGTTGAAAAATTGAAAAAGTCGTTTACTAGTTACACTTAATATCACAGTAAAAATTCAGTCACATTAATATCGGCAAATTATTCAAGTAAGTATGCAGAGTAACATTATTAAATTTATGTATATGAGTTCATTATTTATCATAACATATATAGTTGTAGCATTAATCTCTATAGATAATTATATAGTTATCCCTTAAATTTTTAACAATATTCTTATAATATGTGCCGTACATTGTCCGCGACTGTAACATTATTCATTGTTGATTAATCTACTTACTACTTATACGTTATTGAAATTAATTTCCTTTTAACACTTTTCCGGTAAATTATCCCATCACTTAAATATAGTATAATTCAATAATCTTCTTCACTTTCACTTCTTATACTAGAGGTATGCCAAATATTTTTTCAATTTTTTTTTAAAAATAATAATATAGATATATAACACTTACCTAATAGTATTAAAGGATATTGGCAATTTTCAATTTTCATTGTCAAAATCAAATTCGGACTAAGTTAAAATCATTATAAGAACATACTTTACTATTATTGTATTTGGTTGAATTTTTTAACTGCAATGATACTAAAACAAATAAATTTAAAGATATTTATTTTTATTATATAAAACAAATAATAATCATATCTTGTAATTGTGTATTATTACATGAATATGAACTTTCGAGTAATTATATAGTATTATATTCATTATTATGAATATTGAATTAAAAAATTTTAAAAAAAATTTATTTTTATAATTTAAAATAAATTCCTATGTAACATATTAAGATGTATTAAGATGTATTATTATTTTATTAATATTAAAATGTATTATTATATATTGAACAAACGATAGAATACGTAGCAACATTTTCTTACTTAATTTTAAAAATATATTGTAAAAACTTAATTATGAAAGTATTATTGTAAAAAACCATGTTAAAATAAAAATATTAAAATATACAGTTTTTTTTTTAATTAAAAAGAACGAAGATACAAAAATAAACTGAAATATTATTTTTATTTTGTAACTCATTTTTTTTTTTTTTTTTTTTTTTTTTTTTTTATGTTTTTTATTTTTATTTACATTTTCAATATTCTTATAAAATTTTTTATAAACATAAATTATAATTAATAAGTATTTTAAATATTGCACTAATTAAGAGTTTTAATTTTATTTAAAATTGTATTTTATTTTATTTAAAATTGTCAGTTAATTGAAAAGCGTAGCTTTAATTTTCTTTCGCAAGTTGTATATTAGAAAATAATTATCAGTAGAAGGTTTGTGCAATTTTAATAGATTCGAAGCTTTATTTTTCATTCAAAATTCGAGTTCCTAAATATTCGTTCGTGTAAGTTTTCGCAGTTTTCATGCTATACAGAACTTTAACAATTGAGAGAGGAAAAGCCGTCTTATGAAAAATAAAAAATACGCGCCAATAAATAACTTGGTAAAAACAATAATTCTTTATGTTCTATTTAAATAAAACAATGTAATTATTCGGAGTATCATCTTTTTACACAAATCGTTTTTCTAATTACTATATCTTTGTTGGTTAATAAATAGCCACTAAAGACGACAACTTGGATGCTTGCCAAAGAAAAAAAGATGCAGCAAGTACTTGACAGGTGTAGTATAAAAAAAAATATAAAAAGAATTGCGAAATTGATATTAACATAGTTTTTTGTTCCGTATATTTTCACTTTCTTAATAGATTTTATATGTAGAGACATCGATATTTAAACGTTGTTGGCATTTATGAAACAAAAACAAAAACAAAAAAAAACAAAACAAAAAGAAAACAAAACAAAAAAACAACAAAAACAAAAAAAAAAACAAAACAAAAAGAAAACAAAACAAAAAAACAACAAAAACAAAAAAAAAAACAAAACAAAAAGAAAACAAAACAAAAAACAAAACAAAACAAAATTGATAAAAAAAAATAGCTTGGTAAAATTAAAATGGATTAAGATTCTTTCTAATGAGCAGGATTGGTCGGTGTAAGGTATAACTCGTTTATATTTAAACTGAAAAATTATATTAAGTAGACTGTGATTAAGGTATTAATTAGCTCTTATTTTACCAGAGCATCATGAGCTCGTGTAGGTAGCTGGTAATTATCACAGTGTACTATCTAATATTGCATGTAATCCAACTTTATTATGTATGCGACTGTTACCTTAGACTACGAGCATCAATTCCGTATCTTTTTATTATTTATCAAGATAAACTGAAGTTGCCGCTTGCATTTATCAGGTATAAATTATTATGAGTCGTTATAATCAAAATTACATATTTGTAAAGGAGTAATTTATTGCAAAACTTTCCGACTTCTTTCACAAAAAAATATCAGGAGTCAAGAAGAACGTAAGAGGAATGATAAATTTAGGTAGATTATCTGTAGTTAATATATTCTGAAATTTCGAAAAAAGTATTTTTGCCTCCAAATGAGTTTTCATCGGTAAAATTGCTTAAACATTTAGCTATTATGAACAATTCCATCAATTTTCTGTAATAATTCTTTTAATGTATAA